GGAGCTACTTATAGCTCTGTTATCAGGCTCCTGAGCGACTGCAAACAAACAGCCGTCGCCGGGGAGGGACCTGCAGGGAGGCGCCGCCTGCTTTTTGCTCGGTGGTTCATGTCGGCCTGTGGGTGCGATTCCCAGTCAAGGGCACCCACCTGGGTTGCAGATTCGATCCTCAGCCCCAGGCAGGGTGCGCACAGGAGGCAGCCAATTGTCTCTCTCTCTCTCTCTCTCTCTCTCTCTTCCCTTCCCTCCCTTCCACTCTCTTTAAAAATCAACAGGAAAAAATATCTTTGAGTGAGGATTAACAACGACAAAACTATCACATTGAAACGAATACAAAATAATATTGACTGTAAACTGTAATTAAAAAGAAAATAAACATAGGTCTCATTTTTTGCTGCTTGACACAGTCGCTGCAGGGAAGAAACATCTGCACAGCATATATTTCAAAGGACCTGGCGTCTATGCCATACTGTTCTTAACATGTTTGCTCCCCTTTTTAGCGCTATGTGTTCTAACCAAGGTCACCTTCCCAGAAAGGTTGTTTCCCCAGGTGGGGATTTTCCCCTGGAGTTAGGGAGGGGAGAAACTGGTTAGGCTGCTGATCAATTGAACACTGCCTCCGTGTCATTCCTTCTTCGCGGACTCCGTCCACACCTTTGGGAACCCCTGGACATGCTGGGGTTGGACCCCAACAGTATCCAGCATCTACAATGTACCCAGCGTCCACAGTGTACCCAGTATCTACATTGTATCCAACGCCTACAATGTACCCAGCGTCCACAATGTACCAGTACAATATCCAAAACACCAGAGCAAACAGCCAGTATGTGAAGAGGGAGAACAGTGGGTATAACTAGACACAGAGATAACCCAGACATTTGAATTAGCAAACAAGGACTTAAGGTTACTCTTATAACCATGACAAAAAGAACCTGCAGGAAAAGAGAGCTGTAATGGTGGCAGACACGGGAAATTTCGGGTGATGCTAGCATATATAAAGGAGAATACAGGAGAGAGATGGAAACCGGAGGGCGGAGGGTGGGAAAGTGCCTTAGGAGATACATCAGCCCAAAGCAACGTGTGGTTCCTGGTGGGATCCTGACTGGAATAAAGCGACCGTAAGAACAAAACAGAAAAAATGAGACAGTCAGGGATCTATGTGAACACTGCAATAGCCTTTCACATTAGGAAGCATTGTGTGTTTTTAGGTGTGGTCATAACGTCATGATTATACGCATACAGAGTCCTTATGTTTCCAGATGCGTGCACTGCTACTACTGACTGAGTGATGGGGTGAATTGCTTTAAAACAGTGGTTCTCAACCTGTGGGTCGCGACCCCTTTGGGGGTCAAACGACCCTTTCACAGGGGTTGCCTAAGACCATCGGAAAAACACATATAAAATTACATATTGTTTTTGTGATTAATCACTATGCTTTAATTATGTTCAATTTGTCACCATGAAAATACATCCTGCATATCAGATATTTACATGACGATTCCTAACAGTAGCGAAATTACAGTGAGAAAGTAGCAACGAAAATAATGTTATGGTTGGGGGTCACCACAGCATGAGGCACTGTATTAAAGGGTCGCGGTGTTAGGAAGGTTGAGAACCGCTGCTTTAAAACAATATGGAAGTGGGGGAGGGGCAGGCATGAACGGAAAGCAGAGAATGAATGAAAGGCCATGGGCTGCATGTAGATACTTGTTGAACCCAGTAATGGGTAGACGAGGACTCTTGTGACAATCTCTCCACTTTGTGCTTGAAAAGCCCATAATAAAGAATTTAAAAAGAACAGGAGGGAGGGTGGGGAAAAGAAAGAAAGCGGCCTCCTCTTTAGTGACTGGGGTCCACTCCGTGCCCGAGCCCACCCCTGCCGGCCCCGGGGGAGCTGGGAAGGGAAGCAGGCCATGCCTTCCTGATTGAAATAAATCACGTGTCATGTGATCTGCCAGTGATTTAAGCTGCTTTTGATTTGCATTTTCCAAACCAAATTTCCTTGTTGAACCTCAGATGTGGGGCCCAGGCTGCCTCCCGGGCCCTCGGTCAGCCCTCCTCGCCGGCCCATGTCGGCCTGGCTCCTCGGACTGTGTGTCTGGCCGCTGCTACTTGGCTTCCACGTATGAGGACCCCCCAGGGGTAACGTCCTGGGTCCCCTCCTTCTAGGACCCGCCCATCTGACCAGAAGCCCCGGTGCCAACGACGCCATTGGGCACCGTTTCTTCTCCCTCTCGGGGCTTCTCCAAGGTTGGAACCTGGCGCTGGCTCCTTCCCCTCCCTCCGCTGCTGACCAGCACGTCCACCGGAGTCTTTCCTTCACGCTGACGGAGGAGGAGGCGTTTGTGAGCAGCAGGGACAGGCTGGGGCGGGAGCTGGTGCTGGTGGCGAGGACGCACACCCAGCACATGCCAGGGGTGAGCTGCCCGCAGGGCAGGGCCAGCAATGTCGCCAAGTGCTCTTCCCGGAACGGAGCACGCGCTGATCTTGTGACCGACCTGTGCCCGGGGCTGTGTCTCATCGCTCTGCTATGAAACAGGAGACGCCGAGTAGCTGACGGTCCCAGCGTGAACCGTGGTCAGCGGCCGCAGAAGCGCAGTCCAGGCCTGGGCTCTGCGGGACCGACCGCCAGTGGACACAGAACCTTGTTTTGCTTTTGTTTAAATCCTCACCCGAGGATGTGTTTTTATTGATTCCAGAGAGAGGAAAAGCGAGCGAGAGAAACATCCGTCGGTGGCCTCCCAGACGTGCCCCAGCTGGGGATCGAACCCACAACCTAGGGAGGGGCCCTGACAGGGAATCAAACCCTGTCAAGGGAGGAAGCGCAACCAACTGAGCCACCCGACCAGGGCAATACAGACCCATGTTTCTTAATCTCACAGAGTCACCCACAAAATCACGTCCCCTCGAAATGAAAACGGGGGCCACCTTAGACACGACCACGCCAGCCTCCCCCCACCATCCCCTCTGCATCCTTTCCCACGGAGCGAGCACAGCCTGAGAGGGATCACAGGGAGCTCCCCGCTTCCCCAGGCGGCCCGGCTCTGGGGGGACCCCGACCTTCCATGCGTGTCCCAGCCTCCTGACCACCCAGGTTGCACCATCCCCGCGCTGTATTCAGATGTGGGCGTCTGATCTCTCTCTGACTCTCTGGCACCGCCCCCCTGACTGCGGCTGGAGCAGGTTCCCCTCTTTAGATGACACACTCGGGCACTCCCTCCTCACAGCGGCTCCCCACCTGGCCAACGGCAAACAGCACCCCCCCCCCATCTGGGACACCCTGGCAGGTGGCAGCGCTCCTCCGCGGCTCCGCCGCCCACGGCGCTGCCCACGCCTGAAACATGCACCCACGTGGGCAGCAGGTAGGATGATGAAAACACCTTCTCTGCTAAGGGAGGCCCAGGACAGGCCCCAAACTGTCCAGGGGCTCAGGCTCGCCCCCTGGCTGGTCTGTAGGGCAGCTCCCTGCTGCTCTCACCAAAGACTAGGAATTGACGGCAGCTGCGGTTCCCAGCGCTTCAGGCTGGGCCCGGCCTCCTGCGGTGAGATGGACACCCCACCTCCCCCGCCCCCTTGGGCTCCTTGCAGATCAGAGCCTCGGACCAGGGTCG